AGAGGTTAACTGGCAGGCTAATAGCATCATGACCGGGTGTTACTGATAACGGGGCGGTGAAATTACCCCAAAAAGAGCTATTCCCACAGATCCCAGCACTGACAGCATCGAATCCTGGTCAATTCACATTTGATCCACTACTAAAATTGAGGAAGAAGCACACAGCAGCTTAGATAGTGCCTAAGAATTCTAATTCTTGAGGCTGAATCGGTAACACAGGAAAATCACCCACTTTTGTCATTCCATTGCCAGTGTCATGGATAATCCAGCCATTCTGTACCACTCAGTATGGCATCTATGAGTTATCTGCCATACAACAAATTGCAAAACAATACCAATAGGTAAGAAACACACAACCCCAGTCATTCTGAGGGCTGGATGCTATTTTCTGCCTCAAGATGAGGCCGAATATATTGCTCTGGAATCCACCTAGGGCCAGACTCTGTGGAAACACAAGCATGTCCATGACCTCAAGTTATTAATGGTAAAGGATATTCTCAATGCCCTGTGGCCATATTCTTAATATTAACCATCAGTCATTCCTTGAGCACTGGGGAGGCCCCAAAATGGTCGTCTACTCGAGTTGTATCTGTATGATTGGGATTCAAAAGATTCAGCACAAGCAAAGCCTTACTTACCTCTTGCAGTGCATCTCCCGTATTCCCCCTTTGTTCTTTATTAAGAGTACATTTCAGTGTTTGATGAGCACATTCAATGATAGCTTGTCCAGTGGGAGAATGAAGAATGCCTTTAACATGTCTAACCCCCAATTATTGAAGCAAAATTTGAGGGGCCCTGGAACTACATGCAGGGCCATTATCCATTTTTACTGTGTGTGGGATCCCCATAGCAGCGTAAGCAGATAACCAGTATTTATTTGCACTGTGATGGCATTTGCCTGTATGCACTATGGTAAACGTGTAAGAAGAAGAAGTATCTACTGTTAAATGCACGTATTTTAGATGGCCAAATTCTTCAACGTGAGTGACATCCAATTGCCAGATTTGAAGAGGTGCTGTGCCATGGGGATTTGTTCCTATTTGAGGCAGAGGGCCAATTGCTTGGCAGTCAGAGCATGTTAGAATAATGTCATAGGCCTGATCCACTGTCACTTGGAATTGTTTTTGTGAGACTCTCCTGTCCTGCTGGAAAATGGATGGGAGAGTCACTCTTGTTGAAATAATTGAGGGGTAGCAAAGGCGACTGTGGCTTGATCAGCCTTACAGTTGCCCTCGGTTAACAGACCATTATAACTCAGTGTGTGATCGAAAATACAATAAATAATAAAATAAGGTAAATAAAATAAACAAAATAAAATAAGGAAGACTACAGTGAGAGATATAACACAAAACTCTCTTGAGCTGAGCACACGAGGCAGGGTTGTTAACTTAAAGAAAGATCTTTCAGTCCACTGAAGGGTACCTGTAACGTACAAAGTCAGTTGTTATATCAAGGTTTTGTTCTGCAGAAATTTGAAAAGCTTTGAATTTGAAGAGCCACTGCAGCAAGTCCTACAATTTGAGGTGATCCATCGACAACGTGCACATCTGACTGCCATCAGGTAGCAGTCGTATTGCAGAGAACCACTGCTCGATGTGTCTTACCAGAGCCATCTCAACAACATCAGGCAGTGGAACATGCGAAATCAAATGTTTGCACTAAGGGACAGATCACTCAAATTATGCAGTAACTGAAGTTTTGGGGGATGAGTGGAGATTTGTCCAATATAATCAGCCATAACAGCTTGTAAAGTGAGCAGATGCACAAGCATCCAATCTGAATCTTTTCAGCAGTGGGGATATAGATGCAATCAGGGTCAGAAACTTGCAAAGTTTGTAGACTGTATTGACCTCACTGTATTCGCATTGCAAACAACTCCACTTGGGATGGTTTTTGAAAATGTATGTGGGAAGAATATCCATTTGAGGATGATGAAAGGATCTTTCCTTGAGGTTTCCCACTGACATAACGAGCTGTATGGTTGGTAAGAGTTTGATATTATTGTAAGAGATACCAGAAGAGATAAACAAACACAACGACTGTATAGATGTTGTAGGGATGTTATTACAGAGCTAAGCATTGGAGTAGTTCCAGTATTGTGTTGTTTAGAAGTTAGATCTGGGTCTCCTTTAAGCAGCTGGAATAGAGGGTGTAGCTCTTGAGTAGTAATACCCAAAAGTGATGGTTCCTAGTAATTTTTGCAGATCATTTAATGTCTGCACACGGGGTACTATTTTGAGGGCTTGTGGCTGAATGGTATGAGAGTAATTTGCACAACCCTTGTGGTCCTTGAGGCCAAGGAGCAGCACCTCCTCCATGAGGGTGGGCCATGGAGGCAACTTTGGGTCCAGTATGGCAGTGCAGGCTGATTTGCTGATACACCACAGGAAAGGTTTGTGATGTATCAGTATCACCCCATGATATCACCTCTCTTTTGCATTGCTCTAAAGCACCATAGTAAGCTGTACGAGGGACAGAATTTTTCCTTCTCAGCCCCTTCAAACTGTCATCAGGAGGGAAAGGGTCCGATCTGTCCTCCAGATCTATTGGACCATCATCAAAAGGATCTTCTGGTTCCACGCCATCCTTGTCTTTAACTAAATGACAAGGTGGAGGCAGAGGCCGTGCGGAGGGCAATGGGGAGCGGTCTGAAGAGTTTGCCTTTTCTTTCTGGATTTATTTGAGCGTTTCTGATGCTTAATGCAAAAAAGGTAAACGCTTATCAGCAATCTTGTCTGCAATAGTGGTAATGTCCCAAGGTTTTGTGTCCATTTTGTCCCAGACCTCCCAGTCAAAGGAACCAGTTATCAGAAACTCGGGCATTTCTTCTTACCCAATCAAGAAAAGTAACTAAAGCTGAGGTAGATACAGGTAGATTCTGAGACTTGAAAATTCTCTGTAATACTTGACAGTTTACTTGTTGCTCCTTCACATTAGTGACTTCTCCATGGTTCTGACTGCTCAACTTCTGTCCTGCAGGTCGATGATGGGTGTGCAGAATAATCCTCCAATGATTCAGTCACACAATGCTGCTGGATGGGACTCGTTCAGCCTTGGCTTGATTTTTGCCCCACAGGGGCACCATTGGCAGTGTCTGAAGGCATGGACTGAGATGTGAACAATCCAAACAATATACTGCAGGTTCTAACATCCTTTTTATAGATTTCCAAGATTCCTCCTGTAACTTTCCCACCCCCACTTACAGGTCAAGAAAACATTCCGCACAGGCTCCCCTGCTCTCTCCTTACCCATGCATGCAGGTGCTTATCCAACCAGAGCCATGAGTTGCTCCTAGCCACGCGCTCTGCCTCCACTCAGGGTAGTTATCAAGCAGCAATCAAGCGTCTCATTTGACTCTAGCCTTAGTCTCCTGGAGGTATCCTTTGTAGTCAGCATTCTTTTTTGTTCATCTGTTATCTTATTCTACAGTTCTGCTCTGAATATTCTATCTTGAATTCCCACATTCTCACACCGAGTGATCTCCTTGTTTAAATCCCAGATATGATAGTATTTTTGATTTGTGACTTAGCAAGGCCAGTTTATTCAAGGTTCTCTTGGCAACATCCATAAAAAATGACACTGAGAAATGGGGAAGAAGGAACGGCAGAGTCCTGAGGATCATCAATAAATGAAGAGAGAAATGAAATATTTAAAAAGAGTAAAGGTGGCCAAAGTAGCAAAGGAGAAAGAGAACACTTAGATATTGAAGGGAAAGGCAGCAGCTTGATCCGTGTCAGAAGATCAAGCTGTTTTTTTCCCAAGCAAGCTGAAGCACTGGCTCCTCTACCTCAGCCTGCAACGTTTGCTCAGTGTGCTCACTGCGAGGACATAGGAATCTTGAGCCTGCAACTCAGCACCTGTTTGGCCTTAGTTAATCCGTGCGTGGGGAATCCCAGAGACTCAGCTTGTGAGAGATGCCTAACTGGGTGCTGCTTTGGTGATGGAGAAACTGCTGCCTGAGCTACTGAAGTGTGCTGTGTTCATGGAAACTCCTCCTAAGGACAGTTCATTTCCAGCACACCTCCCCCGAGGTCAGGTACAAACAGTCAGCAGTTCTTGTTTCAGCCAAGCCATGTGGCCTTGCCAGGAGGATGGGTACCGTGCCACCTGCTTGTACCTGAAGTTAAATTATCTGTAGTTATTTTTGTTTGCGACGTTATCATTCACCTGGTGATGGTGTGAGATGGTTTCAGCAGTTATGGGGGCAGTTGGCCAAATCTGCACAGCCAAGATGGAAAACAGGGAACTGACTGCATCCCAGGTACTCAGGTACAATCTCTGGTTTCAAACTCCCCTGGCTTTGTTGCATTCACACCTTCTTTTGTCGTTGTGGTTGTTTGTGATGAAAATATTCCCAAGAAATTTCAGAGGCTCTCCAGGTTGCTTTGCTCCTCGTTCTCGCCCAGGAGGACCTCTGAGAATCTTCACTTTTGGAAGAGACCTTTAGAGACTGTGTGGTCCCACTTCTGTACAATGAATGGAGACACCCACAGCTCCATCAGTGCGCAGAGCCCCTTCCCCGACCTTGGGTGTCTGCAGGGACAGGGGCACCACCACCTCTCTGGATTATCTGTGGCTGTTCTTTACCACCCTCACTGTAAAAAACTTCTTCCTTCTATCCAGTCAAATCTCCTCTCCTTTCTCCTATATACTTTCAAAGTAAATAATATATTAGGTTTTTTCAGTTCAGCTCATGCCAGATGATCATTTTGGATGAATTAACAACTTCTTCCTAAATCAGACCAGGTGAATCTGCGGAGAGGTATGGGATTAGTGTAAGAGGGATACCATATGAAGAGCACGTCACCACTAGCAGGACGGATATTAGCATGCCAGCAATTTCCAATGTAAATACTGCACCTCTGTATTTTTCAGCAGAGAACCCTTGAAAATATGCTTACCTTTCAGACTGGCTCTTAATACTAGCACAAAAAAATATTAGTAGGAAAACCTAGAATACAAATGTTTGCCCTGCTGGCTTCCACTGGCCTTCAGCACTTGAGCCACAACCTGTTGCCTGAAGCTTCTGATAGGAGAAATCTGTTAGATAATACAAACACTGGTGTGTGCCTCTCGCTTCCATTTCAAGGTGAGCTCGCAGTATAAAGAGCTGCGTTTCCTCCAGCAGCAATCTCCTCGTCAGACCCCACAAGAATGAAGGCTCTTGGCGTGCTGTTCTTGCTGTCGGGTGCGTAGGCAGCGCGTGCCCCTCTCAGCACCCCGGTGCTGCCTGCACACCCAGCGCTAACCTTTGTGCTTCTCCTCAGCGGTGGCTGCCATCGCTGCAGTCTCACCTCGTGCATTATGGGAGTTCCGCAGCATGATCAAATGCACCATCCCAGACAGCAACCCTCTGCTCGAGTTTAATGACTACGGCTGCTACTGCGGCTACGGAGGCAGTGGGACACCCGTGGATGAACTGGACAGGTTTCTACAACTCTGCTGTTATAAACCTCTTTGCTTGGTTCTGCTTTTGTGGTTCTGCATGCTGGCTTCTCCTCAGCCCTGTCTGCAGACAGGTGCTCCGCAGGCACCAGGCACTGATGGGGACGCAGGGTAAATGATGCATTTTGCTGTCCTGAGAGCTGCTGCAGTAAGCATGCACGTAGCAGGCACCTCATGGAGCGTGGGCTGGCAGGGGAGGAGCTGGACTTGGTGGTCCTTGTGGTCAGGATACTCTATGAGGTGAGGCCCTTTAAGGTCCTTTGAGCTCTCAGCTGTCACTGAATATTTGAAGGGTTTGGTGATTCTTGTGTTCAGTGCCTTGTCAAAATCTACTGACGAATGGTCACACACTTACACAGCCTACAAGTCAGCTGAGTTTGCGTTTCAACATCTTCTCACCTTTTCCTCTGTGTTCCCAGGTGCTGTCAAACACACGATGAATGCTACACCAAGGCAAAGTCGGTGTGTGCCGCCTCCAATGATACCCCCTACACAAAGACATACAAATACTCTTGCAAGAACAATGCGATCACGTGTAGCAGTACGTCCTGCCTCGAGTCCCTGCTGTGCTCTGTGTCACTGTGTCTTCCCTGTCTGGAAAGCATGTGGCTGCGTGGCTTTGGGGGCGGGAGGGATGTGCAGCGGGAGGCCCTGCCAGGTGCAGTGCCACAGTGATGCTGCTTTCAAGGTGTGCAGAACAGCAGGAAACTCATCCTTGGGGGTGCAGACAAGAGCTGTGGGCTCAGTGGGGAGCACAGCACAGCTGTGCCACACAGCTGCTGTACGACGGCAGAGAACCTCAGATGGGAGGAGCGGCCTGTCTGCAGCCGGGGCCTCGCGCCGAGATGGGGCAACGCGTGGCAGGGCACCGCGCCGAGCTCTGACAGCCCACCTTTCCCTCCAGGTGCCAACAACGAGTGCGAGTTGCTCGTCTGTAACTGCGACCGCACGGCCGCCATGTGCTTCGCCAAGGCACCGTATAACAGCGCTCACCTCCACCTGGACAAGACCAAATACTGCAGTTAAATGCAGCGCGGCTGCCGCCAATAAAAGCCTCGCACCACACGCACCCAGCCGCTCCGTGCTGCGCCGCGGCCTCGAGACGGGGAGGGAAGGAGAAAGGCGGGGAGGGAGGGAGACAGGGGGCGGGTTGGCGCGAAGCCCCGCCCCTTCCACCACCCGCGTCCTTTGATTGGCCCGGAGCGGCGGCGGGCGCGGGGTCAGGAGGAGGCGCGGATGGCGGGCGCGTGGTGTCGCACCCCGAGAGGCCGTTATCCCGCGCCTCAGGCGGCGGTCGGGCCGTTCCGTTCCTCGCGGAGGCGGCGTCGTTCCCGGCCCTCGGCTGGGCGCGGAAGGCGGGCGGTGGTGCTGCGCGGGTCGGCCTTGGCCCCGCCGCTCCTCCTGGTGCTGCGCGTCCCTGGGGGCGCGGCCGTGCGAGGGCTGAGGCGTCCGTTGGCCATCGTCCGCTCCGGGCGAGTCGTGTCCGAGCTGGGCTGCGGGGCTGAGGTGGAGTTAGCTATGCCGTGAGGAGCTGTGCGGCCTTCTGAGCGCCGTTTAACCTACAGCAAGCTGTGCCTGTAAGAGCTGCTCTCAAAGATGAGATGGAGCCCGAGGATCTGCGAGAGGGCTCTGAGAAAGCAGGGGCAGAAGAAGGAAGGAGCGGGAATGGTGCTGTGGGGGGCTGGGGCTCTGAGGGTGTTAGAATGGTCACGCAGTGGGATGGTGAATCACATCCTTCTTGGGAAATAAAATGAAACTTGAGTGTGTGCATCTCGCGTGCAGCTACTCCGTGTGAGGGCAGACTGAGTCCTGCCTCTGTGGCAATGTTCATTTCCTATTTCCCTCAGCTGTGCACATCTGTGGGTGTTCTGGAAGCGCTGAGCTCTGGGTTTTCCACAGAAATGTGGAGGATGCTGGCTGTGTTTCTTGTTCACACTCATCTGGTGGTGCAGAAGACTGGACAGTAGGTTTGAACGGCTCCCCCAGCAAGACTTCAGGTAGGGAATTTTGTCCCATAGTGTCCAGTGCCCAGCCCCAGGCAGTGGCAGAGATGGGGACGTGCTGGGGAGACCGTGGCTTTGTGTTGCTGAAGTCTCAGCATCCTCTTCTTTACTGTTTTCTAGGCCAAGATTTGCTGGACTCTGCAGGGACATTGAATTGCTCCAACCATATGGGCATTGCAGCATTAAAGGAGAAAATATGCCAGCTGAGACAACGCATACAGAAAGCAAACAACTATGCTCAGGGTAATGACTGTGTTTCTGTTTCTGTCTGCAGACCTATACTACGCGTTTCCACTTTTATTCTTCCACTCAGGCTCAACTTTTCCTCTTACGGTGCTTAGTAGTGAAGGAGGGGGAAAAAATACAGACTGTGGTAACGAGGTACTTTTTGTTAGTTAGGGAAGGGAGAGGACTGGGGTCTGCACACAGACCTGCAGGAAACATCTGTATCTGGAACAGTGGTTTTAAACTGAAGCAAGTTTGTTGTAGTAAATAGGCACAACTTTGATATGCTTATGCTGAAGCTGCATTGTGTTGTCAGGGGCTGAGCAAGGGCTGGCAGCTCGCATGGGTCAGGCTCTCCAGCCTGCTTGTGTGGAGTGTGCACGCATCACTGTGCTGTGCCGTCCTCTGACACAAACTGCTTTTGTTCTTTTTTTCTTTCCCTCCTCTTCTATTCTTAGCCTTTGTAATTGTTGCCTGCTTAGCCAGTTGTCAGTGTGAGTGAGCATGAATTCCTCACTGTCCGTCTGTGTCCTCTGCATGGTTTCCTGTATCTGTCAGGACTTAGGTGCACAGGTGACAGACCCCAATGGAGAATCCTCCACTTAACAAATCTTGCAGAAACAGTACGATCAGAGGAAAAGGATTACTGCTCTGCTTTCTGTTGTTACTCAAAAAATATCATCCACCTTTTTTCCTTTTCTTCTTCTTTTTTTTTTTTTTTTTTTTTTTTTTTTTTTTTTTTAAGATCCACCTGAAGAAATCAAAGCTATCTAGCAGCCCATGTTCCAGAATTTCCTGCCCTTTGGAAAGAAAGCTTCAGCCAGAAGAAATCTGGCATCTGAAAGATATTTTCACAGTGTTTGTTTGGTGATGAAAATGGCCCCACCAGTCAGAGTGAAAAGGTGACGTCCTCTATTCTACATTTATTGTTTCACGTGTATAATTTTTTCTGTAATCTAAAAAACACAGCTGTTCAGGTGAAGTTAATTTAGATCTTGAAACCTCTGCACTGAGACACTGTAAGGGATTCAGGGTGATGTGATAAGAAATGCTGATTTCAGGCACTTGGCTGAGACCCTCTTCGTTCCTTTCCCTCTAACACCAGTTGTCCTCTCAGGATTGCTGCTGTTTACCTGGTACCCCAGGACAGGGTATGTGAGAAGGCTCCATCTGTCCTGCCCAAGCCGTAGGTTTTGAGTGAATAGACCAAGGAAAGCAGTCAGTTGGCTCTGCTTTGAAATGTCTGCTTTTTCTCTGTACAGGTGAGAATAGGAAGGGACGACATCCAGGACTGTTGTGTGGGAAGAGGTACACTCTAGAAGGTGGATTTTGCCCCTTTTGCTCCAAGGCTCCAGAACCTCCCAAGTTCACAATGCCAGAATCTTTGGTCCTTTCTAAGAAATCATGAATCAGCAGGTTTGTTGGTAGGAGCTGTCTGACTGCAAGGCAGCATCCTTCGGGCCTCCTGTAGTCTGTGCTGCCTTCACTGGAGCACTGTTTGTGAAATGGCTCAGGCTGCAGGGCTCTGTTACAGAGTTTGCTCTGAGGGTTTGTGCAGAACTGAAGACAAGGATTGCTAAATAGGAAGCAGTTTTATTTGCTTTGGGTAACTCCTACCCCACTTCCAGAGGAGGGGCAGAAGGATCTGTTCTGAGGTACTCACAGCTCCTGTAGCCAAACCTCAGGAACTTGTCCTGGTAGGAAAAGCTGTAAGAAAAAAGGGAGGAGTACATTGTTTTCAGGCTATTGATTTCAGCTAATTTTCTGGGGGGAGAAAAAAGTATTGTTGGCTAATGTGTGCTTTTACTAACCACAGATGGACAGAGCTGCCACTTCAAGTCCAGGTCTGAAATTGTTGGTGTAGTGGCCTAACAGTGATGACCAGAAAAGGTAGAAGGTTCAGTTGTGGTGGATGGTCCAGGCTGGTTTTGAGCAGACAAGGCATTATTTCCTCCCTGGCAAAAGGGGAAGAAATCACTGCCCCAGCTCTGTGACATGCCTTTCCTGTTAGTTTCAGCCAGTGGATGGTTTGTGTTCTTTGTACTGAACTGTGGAGGTTTCTGTAACTCCCTTCAGAGTGGTAACTACATCAGTAAGCCTGAAGCAGGCTTCTCAAGATTGGTCTTTGCTACCTGCAGTGACAGCTTTTGGTAGCTGTTATCTCTCTGCATCGCACACAAACCGTCCCAAAGAAGTGACAGGGGAAGGTGTTGGTCAATGTTAAGGCAGGTATGGCTTTTGGTTTAGAACTTCAGGCTTTCTGTGGCACTTCTCAGATGGGCAAACTTAGTTCCCAATGGTGTGTAGGTCAGCTTTAATAGTGCTGGATCAGCTTGGCACCAAAAACAGGACAATTTCGTCTCAACCTCATATACTTGTTTTAATCGTATGCTTGTTAACATATGATAATAAACCATGCACAGGAAATTTACTGCAAATGCTCATTATCTGCTTTAAGTCTCTGTCCCTAGCGACTTAAAAGCATGTAGTGTAAGCAGTGGAGGGTCAGGGTAACACAACCCATTTCTCAGTGATGCTGAAGAGACGCCCTGCTTCTCCTCTCCCAGATACTCAACTGCTGAACTGGAAAAGAGGCACAGATAGAAGGCTGAGTTACCTGTCACATCTGGTAATTTTGAGTCCTCACTAGAAATGAGGCCTCTTGTTTTGGACTCCCTGGCAATGCTGCCATCTCAGAATGTTGGCACTAATGACATCTAACCTGCAGCCCCTGTTTTTAACATGCCCGTGCTGTGCAAGCTTCCAGATGGTACAGAAGATGATGTGGAGAGTGAAAACCCCGGCCCCGGTTCCTCTGCCAAGGAGGCTTAAATGTCTTCTTACATGGAAAACCTAAGTGAATAAACGTGGTGCAGGCACCCAGATTGTGTGTAGAAACTGTGATGCCTCAGCAATGATTTGTGCCAAAGCTTTGGTTAGTAGGACAGCAGTGCTGCACAGAAGTAGACTGACATCTCTGAGCTTTTTTCACTACCAAACAGCAGATTTCTTCACACTGGAAAGTGGGGTCTCCCTTGAATGGGAGCAGAAGTGAATGCTTCTCATGTGGCTTTTAAGTGAAATGTTGTCCCCTTTGGCCCTTAGAACTGAGTGTTGAAACACTGAATATCTGATTCCCTTTACTTTCTGCAGGATTGATCCCCTGTATCCACTGGATTCTGTACTTGGGATGGGTTTGAAGTGACAACAAAAGAGAAGCAACGTAGCATTTTGTGGTCAGATCTCCTTGCTTTTTACTGCCCTCTTAGCAAATGACTCTGGCACCCTTGCATCCAACAGCTTGTTAACAGTTCTTGTCAGAATAGTAATATGGGGCCTGTTGGGTGAAGGGCAGGACTGGGCTTTTGAAAGACCCCAACATGGCCAGGAGGGGAGTGGGAGAATGAAGTGGGAAGTTGGATCCAAAATGTAATGTTTCAGATTCTATCTTTTACTCCACATGTGGTATAATTTGTCTTAAGATACCACCCTATGGATCAACAAAATGTGGCTGCCCAGCAGGGATGGATCTGCTGTTAGGAGTGTACCAAATCACGTCTACAAAAGCTTGAGGTAATCCCTAGGGAAACCTACTGTACAGACTTAATTGTATCTCTTAATTCATCAGCTGTTAGTAATTACATCCTGCATTTTTGCAATGGAAAAAATGAACCAAGCTGGCTACTGAGACTGACAATAAATCACAGGAGGGAGAGGAAATTACAACACAAATAGAAACAGTCACGTAAACAATTTTAATTTGCTACTTAGCTATTCATTAATTAAATAACACCTTTTAGAAATGCAGTTTTGAAAAGGCAGCAGTGACACTGAAAGCAGCTCTGGTCAGATTAGCTGAAACTAAATCCTCTGGCATCTCAACAATATGCCATTTTTAAAAGGTTGATAGTAAGCAGTTCAGCTGGCAGTGAGAGCAGTGCTGACTTCCCCTCCTTGCTGCTATCAGCTCTGTAGCCCATGCTTTCAAATAATTTATTACAAGAGCAGTATTCTTGTTCAGCTCCTCTTTTGATCCATTTCTGGGGGGAATGACAACTGTGCAGTTCTTTTTGCCTCCTTTACCCTCTCTGTATGCTCCATGTTTGCCCACAAATGACCTGGGATCCAGCTGGTACTGGGTGTTCCATATCACTCTCCTGTGCTGTTCTGTGTGCAGTAACTCTGTCAAACTCCCTGTCTTCCATTCTTCACAACTATTTAAAAGAAAAAAAAGGGAAAAAAAAAGTATTTTGTTCTCAGATGTCTGAATATCCCGTGCCAGTCTGGTCCTCTGCCAGTGAATGCAGAGAAAAGGAACTGTTTACACAGTAAGGGAAGGCAAAAAAAACTCCCTCCTTTTCATCTTTCTTCTTCCTTGTTAAGTGGAGATGGTTTCAGTGCAGAAAATTGTCAGGCTGACATGTGTGAGGCTTGCTGCCCTCTCCTGGCATCACCGGGTGCCACGTGTAAAGATCTGATGGCTGCCCTTCAGACCGAAGTAATTCCCCTGTGGAGAGATGAAGTCCTGCAGGAATGGAGAGAAGAAGCTGCTTTACAGATGAAATTTACATTACATTTACATTACATTTACATTATTCACATTTCACAACAGCGGTGTTTTGATGAACCAGATCAGTTCAACCAGGCACAGCTTTCAAATCAGCAGGGACTCGAGAAGCCCTCAGGAATCCGCGCTGCTACCAAGAAAGATTGCAGTGTGCAAAGGCACCAGCACTGATCGTGTTCTCTGAATCTGCAGATGATCCCCTGCAGCTCTGCCACTGTGCCAGGCGGACTGGGAGCACCCTCATGGTTGTCCATGATGGCAGGAGGTGGCACCACGGCCCACCTGAGCACCCCAGGGACAGGTGGGAAGATGCAGCCAGGCTCCGATGCTCTGAATGGATTTCAGTTGTCTGAATGGATTTCAGTTCAGCTCCAGCATCTGCTGGCTATTTAAACCCTCATTCTTACCCTTTAAGGTGACTGCCCCGGGAGGTACCCACCTTGTAGAGAGAATTTTACCCCTGATAGCCACTGCTGCTCAGCTCGTTGGCTCAGTGTGCATCTAGCAAAGGCAGCAGCTCTCCACAGCGGGAATTCAGCTTGAGGGATGCAAAGTGATCTAACCTCGTGGGCCCAATGTTGAGGACTGCTATTGGCAGCTGCTTCTCTCTGGCTGCCAGCGCAAACCTGTAACCAGAGTACACCTGCAGGAACACCACAAGACAGAGTTATCAGCAGCACAGGCAAAGAACAGTGACAGAAAGTGAAACAGATGATGGTTGGCTGGGAAATGGGCTGTATATGTATGCTGTGTTATGCAGCTGTGCTTAATTCAGGTAGGGGGTTTCTCCATTCAGAAAAGGACAACAATTTTTAACCTCTCACCAGAGAAAAGTTTTCAGTTTTGGAGAAAATACATCAAAGGGAAAGTTCTTGTCTTTCACTAATTCTCTGCAGCAGTTTTTGCTACTTATCATAGGTCCTTAAACGATTCTGCTTTGGTGGTTCTCACATGGCCCAGCTTAGGTGCTACAAGAATGAACCTAAGGCATTTCAATCATTCCTGTATGAAGGATTATGAGCTCAAAAAGGGCGAGCTCAAGGAATTTATCTCCAGTATCCTGAAGCAAAGAGAAGAGCAATCAGGCCTTTGGTTTATGCCTTTCTGGAAGGTGTTAAAGTTGTTTTTCTTAATGTAATAGAACTTGTTCTTGGAAAATTGCTTATTAATTCTTCAAGCTTCCACAGGTTCAACAGCAGGGTTTTCTAGACCACCTTACCTTGCACTTGTAAGATAATGGCTAATAGAGAAAACACACTGTGATACAACGTGCAGCAAGCGGAGGCTTTTCTGCTCTCTTCCTCAGAAGTTTAACTAGGAATTAGGGGTCCTAAAATCCAAATCCCAACAAACTAATAATTACTGAGAAGCTGAAGTGGCTGTGGTGATCTGCCAGCAAGCAGCCGTCCTCAGCTATGGGACCAAGGGCTGCTGCAAACAGCAGTACAGAAACAGGAAGTAGTGTGGGAGGAAGACTTTGCTACCTGCATAGAGGATCCTGCCACCAGCATGGAGTCTGACTCTGCCAGCCGTTGGTGCACAAAATCCACCTTTTCCTGGCTCACTGTGTCTCCAAAGAACGTCACATCAGGCTTCAGGATTCCACCACACTTCCTGCAAGCTGGGACTTGGAAACTGCGCACCTGCTCGTCCGTGAGGAAGACATCCCCATCTGGAGCCACACCAAGGGCTTCAGCTTTCCAGCTAGGGTTCAGAGCTTCAAAGTGCTCCTGAAGCTCAGAGCGTGAGGTTTGATCACCACAGGTCAGGCAGAAAATCCTGAAATGCAGAGCAAAGCCTGAACAGAGACCTTTACATCAGCTGAAGCCCTGGAGCCATAACTTGTTCTTTACAAGGCCTGGGCAGTCTGTTTCCATTACATTTATGTACTGCGTAGTGCAGGTGAGAGGTAGATTGTGTTTTTGTAGTGGAAATTCCCAGTATTTCTGTATGTAGCATAGGAGATAAGTTGCCTTTCACAAAGAAAGTTGCTGAGCAGAGTAAAGTTGAGATTGGGGCATTCCAACTTAGGTAAAATTGGCATGGGCACTAGGTAAGGTAATCGTATAGGGTAGGGAGAGTCTGGTACAGGACAGAACAAGCGTGCAGATAGTTGAAAATGTTGTCCTCCTATTGCCATAAAAAGTACAGAACATACCCAAAGACAGTGGGCTGGTAACAGACATTGTGTGGAAGTGTAACGTAGCAACAGTGCTGGAAGATCGTGAGCCTGAGATGCTGAACCAGTGAGTGCCAGGAGAGGCTTCACCTGCATTGGACCCAGGGTATCTAACTGGATTTTACTGACCAGTTGCACAATTTCTGCCTTGTGTGCAGGGGGTGTGTGCCCATTACTGCAATAATGAATAAACTGCTCTTCACAGAGATCTTTGCCTGATTAGAAATTTTTGATCTTTGAGCGTGTTTCTCACACAGGCCAGTGAGCTGCCTGCCTCCAGCTGTTGCTTTGCAGGGATTCTCTACTCTATGCACTTTGACCCCTACCTTGAATTCCCTCTCACAGTCAAGGCTGTGCTTTTTCACCTAGAAGTTTTGGGTGATCACAGGCAGCTTGCAGTGCTCTGCTCTGATTGCCTGACCTGAGCGTTCCTGGCACTGCCCTCTCGCCTTTGACCCCCCATCTCCACTAGCACAGCGCATTTATGTGCTGTCTCCGTTCTCAGCAGCTAACACTGCACCTACACACTGGTGACCCAGAGCAGAACAGCAATGGTCAACCATCTTCCCTCTACCCAGAGAGTACCTGTGCGTGCAGCCGTGCAGTTCTGTCACGCGCTGGCTCCCAGCTTTGGTATGAAGCGCATCCACGTTCTGGGTCACCAACCAGTGCAGCTTCCCCAGCT